CACGATTGGCATACACACAGTGAGACAAATAACAATGCATCTTCTCTAAGAAGTGCAGGAAGGTAATCTATACACACAAACGTAGTACTGACAATACCAGTTAGGACAGATATGGCCACTGGTCCTAAGACTAGTAACTTGCTCGGTGGACTTGTTTTATCCAATATTTAGTTATTTTACATGACCAAAGTTCTGACTTCAGTCTCCTCCACCTTGTTGGGTTTCACAATGGTGTGTACCCCTAGGCAGTGATGTGCGTCCAATGTCACCAGGTTACTCACCATCCTCCTAATGGCCCCACAGATAGCATAGGTGGTGTTGGTGCCTGTCATGCGACCAGTTGAAGCATCCACCTGGGACAAAAATCACAAATAATTCTTATTTTCTCACATTTCAACACTCTTTATATTTCATTTTTGTCTTCAGATACCAAGAATCAGGGGGCATTCTCAGCAGTGAGTTGTTAAATTCAATCCATAAAGGTACGTTTGGAGATCTTTCAACGATGGAAAGCATATTGCATCATTTCCTGTTACAAAAAACACAATTTCTTGTCTCTCCAGTCATAACTTTCTCTTAATTTATATGCAGAAATTGCAAAGCCTAACTCTGGTCTATTATCAGTAACAAAGATGTGTCAGCCTACTTCTGTCCCAATCTTATACGAGTACAATGGCGGCTACCAGTCGTAGTTTCACTCACATTCGCAACGTTGATCTGGATGGAGGCGTGGTCTTTAGCAGCAATGATGCGGTTGCTTGCAGAGCTGTAGAAGAATAGATTTAAAATCACTCATCCCTTTCAAGGTTCAACATGTCAACTTCAACATTTGTTGTAGTCATAGGTCAGCAAACTACAGGGTATAACAAACACTGTTTTGAACAGTATTTCAGTCATATCATGACATGTCAGTCCATCAATCACACACCCTTATTACTAGAGTAAAAGTAAATAAAACCTGGTGTTCTCACTGGGGATCAACCCTGGCTACCTAAGTGAACCAATGCAGCTATTTGAGGTTTTAATTACTTTCACTCAATTTTACTGTTGCAATGTATTGTGTACCAATGTGAAGTTTGTAACAAGATCAGCATGCTCTATTATGTGATGAGGGAGTAGTGGACTTTTCCAGGCATACTTTTTGAGATTAATTAATCAGAAAGGATACCTAACCCTAACTCTAACCCTAAGGTTCACTCCCAAAAGACAGACCTCCCATAAGACAGGCTGAATGAGTACACTAATTAGCTGAGCCATGCTGTCCACCCCTATTTAATTAATGAGCTGACCCAGAGTCACTACTGAGTATAGTAACATATTACTAATCCTTTTACTGAACAGAACAGAATAGAACCGAAATTTTATTCTAAAAATCACATATTGTCACACAGAGAACATACAGCATATTGATACATATTAAAACATTAACAAAGTCCAGTTTTGATAAATGTGGCAACTTTAGAGTTAAGTGGTGAATAATCACATTTCATTAGATAAACAAATAGTATTTATAAAATTCAGTATAAGCAAAGTATATAACTGAAGAACAGGATGTTTTATAATAGTTAATTTTTCACATGACTTTTTTCCGATCACCCTTCCAGATGGCTACCTGTATGCCAAGAATAAGGTGAAAAGAGAAAATGATGTTCAAGTGACTGTCTAATAAGTTTTATCTGTGCACTGACAAACATGTGATGTAAAATAATATGGTGCTTGGTCTCATATGTTTGATAGGTACATGTGTATAGATTATTGTTTTTGATAATATTCACAAGTAAATGTGATCTGGCAAATATATGTTGATGTACATATATGTTGATTGTAGACTAGCAGTTAAAGCAGTCGGAGCAATTACCGTGATATAGCCATACAACGCTAGTGCACGGGGTGCTATATAGCGTGATAATTGCTCTGCACCGATTCGCAAGGGCTGCGTCTGGTAAAGTGCCCTCTAGCCTGTGATGAACATGACCAGACCAAATGTTGTGTTCGTGTTATTGTACTTTTGGAACCTTTACAGGTAACCATGTGATTAATATCATACTGCATTGCGAAAGTATCACAAATCTTTTGTTTCTTGTTCAAAGCCACACTCAGCAATATTCCAGTATCACAAATCTTCTGTTTCTTGTTCAAAGCCACACTCAGCAATAATCCAGTTATGTGGTGGCAGTCTGTAAATAATCAAGCCTGTGCCAGACAAGCCAGTGATCAACAGTATCAGCATCAACCGACACATTTGGGATATGATGACATGATTTAATTGTCAACCAAGTCAGCAAGGTTCCCTACCTAATCCTGTTAGTCGCCTCTTAGTCTTACGACAACCATGGGTTACTAAAGATCAATTATAACCTGGATCTTCACGGATTCTTTTCGTCTTGATTTTGTCATACAAATCTGTACATAACAATATTTTTTTCATATTATGATTTCATACAGACTTAAACCATGTGAGGCCAATATGAAATTGGACCTCTGAATTGACGTGCTCACTCTGCAACAAACTTTCTGGCAGTAAACAGTATATTGGATAATGCGTGTTCATTACATGTGCTCTCAACCAAATTAGTATCGAATTGGGGTCATGATTAATTTTGCTGTAGTAGCGTGGTGCGATCTGTGGAGCCGAAATCAATAAGTGGCACTGTGAGACTTCCGGACTTTGTAATATATATTTCTAAACAATTCTGAACGATAACTGCCCTGAGATATGTTGATAGGGCTTTCAAAGAACCTCATTTTCAAAAGAGTTCGCTTACCATTTTCTGGGGATGTACATATCAACGAATTCACCTGCTTCGTTTTGCATCTTGACGTCTTATGTTCGACCTGGAATGACAAACATGTCTTCTGTGAGTTAAGATCATCAAACTTTTAAATAACAAATGAAATATGGACTGAACAGACCGCGGGACAAACGTGTGTACCTATGCCTCGTAATGGCTGAACCGGAAAGGAAGAGCACATGTCCTTCCCACAATTCCTTCTATTCAAGGGAATTAACTCGTCACTGATGCGCACGTAAAATATCGAAATTTCGAAAAGCCCATGGATAACAATTGATTTATTCTTGGTTTAACACTGATTTTCATTGTAAGGAATCTAGTAGTATTTCAAACTGTTTCACCCCTTCACAATACAATATAGAAAAAAAATGGACAACAAATTATTTAATTGCGTAAGTGCGACGTTTCGGTACAGATTATCGTACCGCTGTCAGCTAAGAACGTAACATGAATTGGAGTGAGTGAGTATGGTTTTACGCCGTTTTTAGTATTATTGCAGCAATATCACGGCCGTGGACACCAAAAAATGGGCCTCAGACGTTGTACCCATGTGGCGAATCGAGCCCGGGTCTTCGGCGTGACGAGCGAACGCTTTAACGACTACCAAAATGCAAAATGTGTGACGTGATTTTATAAACACTCTGGCTGAAAGTTCACTTAATTCCACGTTCGTGTATTTTCCTAAACATTCTCAGCGATTCGCGGTTCATCGACGACGTTTCAGAACGAGCATTGGTGATTCGACCAAACAACAAATATACAGGTCATCACAATGATATGGGTGGGGTTTTTTTGTTGTTTTTTTGTTTTGTTTTGTTGGGGTTTTTGTTTTGTTTGTTTGGGGTTTTTGGGAGGGGTGTTTGTTTGGTTTTGTTGTTGTTGTTTTTGTTTTGTTTTTTTAAATCGATTCTCCGAGTGAAATTCGACATTTATAAATTACGATTTAGTGTCAAGACTGGCTAGATTTACGATCCATGTGACTTTCACTGTTGGTTGGAAAGACGACCGACTCAGGTTGAATGTTATACAATTTGGTTACATTTTGTACCATGTAACAGTGTGGAACCGACCACATAACCAGCTGACGGCCAGGCAACAGGTGGAGTAAAACAGCCATGGTGTGTTCATTGTGGACATAGAACTCTCGGTTAATGTAGAAACTTTGAATGGATATAACGCAAAACATAAATTAGTTACTTCTGATATCTGTATTGTTTTGGCTATAAAACTACTTGACAAACATTTCTTATGATGAAAAAGTGGAAGACAAAAAGGTTAATTTTCGTGTAAACTTGCCCTTAAAATGGACTCCTTCCGTCCGTGCACATTCGGCTTTTCCGGAGCAGAACTATAAAACCGTTCAATTTTTTTTCACGACCTTTGGCACATAGATAGATATGGTTATGTACTGGTGCCTTTTGGTAGTTTTAGATTTCTGAATAAAATATGTTTTGCGTTTCCATGGTAACAAGTTTGACTTTGACTGAAATTGGTGGTAGTGCTCTTTTCCGGAGCAGATCGTTGAAACTGTTCAATATTTCTTCACCAAACTTGGCACATAGATTGGTCTGGTGGTGTGCTGGTGCCTTTCGTAGTTTTGGATTTCTAAATAAAATATTGTTTGTGTTTCCATGGCAACAAGTTTGCTTCCACTGAAATTGGCGGTAGGGCTCCTTTCTATAGCAGAACTTAAAAACTTTTTAATACTCTCCTCCCACTTTGCTATATACACACCAAAACATTTGACTTAATCATAACTAGCAGACACATCCATGAAGAGTATTTTGCCATTGCGGGGGATATTGATGACTTTGTCTTCTTGTTAACATAATTGACTTCACAATATCTGTGAAAAAAAGGAGTGAAAAAAATGTATTTAAAAAAATTTCATTAACGTTTGAAATAGTTGAGAAACATTTTTATAACGTTACGAAAACGTTTTGACGAAAATATTTTTGAAAAAAGCCAGTTTGAAACCTTATGAAGACATATGTGTTAGCTGGGTTTAAAATCCGCAACAATGACAAACAGGGAAAAAAATCAACACTGATCATAAAGATGTGTCCACATTTTACATACTCTTAATTGCAATTTGTGTTTCAAACGCTACTACCAAAAGAACGATACATTAGGATCAGTTCTTTTATTATCTGAAGGACAACGGAAATATGATCCATGGGAGGTAACTCTAATGTTCCATGACCCAAACGCGTGTCGTTGTTGACAAAATGGCACTGCTCTCAATCAAATATTCTCGTGGCAACTTGGACATCTTAGATCAGTTATTGTTGCCCACGCAATCCAAATATATTCCAGTCACCAACTCCGAGGATGGTTGGAATGTCATCAAGAAAATGCAGGTGAGATAATATCATCATGTATGACATATAAGAGGCCCAATCCCGATACTGTACAGGCAAATTGTGCAGTATTGCCAGATGAGACAGGGACGACCACTATTGCCCGTTGAAACCATCTCAAGTCAAGTCAATCTGTACAATGACAATCTGTTCAATGTCAACTCTGAGATGGCGTTATCAAAATGATTATTTTGTTAATTTCGAACATGCATGTATCAAATTTAATACCCTTCAACCACAACCATCCCCCGTCCATCTAAAAATTATGAGTAATAACGCGTAAAGTTTAAGGTTGATATCAACTCAAAACATTTATTTTTCCCGTTAGCATAACTGATCCGTTTGGTATCGATATTGTAGAAATAGATGAGAGCATGACCATGTACATGCATGCATCTACACAGTTATTTTTAATTGTATAAATCTAAATGCAAAAACATAACGTGTATGGTCGTACACATGTTGGATTAAAGCAGTTAAATGTGTTAACCACAAAGCTATTCCCAATCCTCTGAAGGCAATATTTCAGGCACATATTTCGCAACAGTAACATCGATAATTTTCAATACATTCTCTCATCTTTTTTCATAATAAGACATCTATGACGTTATGCCGTGATATGTGGTTATAGGAGCAATGATTTTGGTATGGCCTTGTACTGTCCCCCTCCTCAGTGCTTGTATACAGCATGAACATTTTAAATATATGCATAGTAACAAACTAACATATCTTGTCAGGTATTAAGACATAATCAGTTCACACGTCAGTGGTGGTGTTACTCTGCAGACTGCCATCAAGGATCAAAGCATTAGTAAAATCTTCCTTAAGTGGCATTTAGAAGCTGGTATGATGAAGTGGAACACTTTTTATGGATAGACAACTTCTTTGTTGCAGTAGTAGTTGCACGTTTCGGTGTAGATCCTAACACCGTTATCAAGCAAATGATGATACTTGATAACGGTGTTAGGATCTACACCGAAACGTCGCAACTACTACTGCAACAAAGAAGTTGTCTATCCATAAAAAGTGTTCCACTTCATTAGTAAAATCACCTCTACATCAATCAGTAAAGATCCCGTGGAAGAATATAGGTCTATAGGAACCAATGAGGAGACTTTAATAATTGGGTGGTCAGACTCAGGTAGACAACATGTCATCCAAATCCCAATCATTTTGATGCTCATGATGTTTATCACTGGATTGAATGGTCCAGATTTGATAATCTAGAGAATGTCATCATATAGCTGGAATTTTGAGCTGTTACACGAAGCCATCTGTATTAGTCAGCAGCTCAAGAGGATGTATATCAGCAAATGTTTGTTCATTGTTTATGCTGATGATGTTTCTCCCCAAGGTCCGAGGTGCACCTGCTATAGCAATAGTTGGCTGTCTGAGTCTGGCCGTGGAACTGGCAGAAGATGGGGAACACAGCACAGTCGGTGACTTGGCTCACTTCATCTGTGACCGTCTGCAGTATCTGGTGACAGCTCGCCCCACAGGTGTCAACATGGGGGAGGCTTCAAAGAGGCTGACCAGCCTCGTGAAGGACATGGCAGCGGAGTCTGGACAAACAGTGGACACTCTGAGAGAAAGGCAGGTTGACCCGACAACACCATTTAATCTATTGTGTCAAACATTGAGCATTCTGACAAATATTGCAACAGGGGTTGTTGTCAGCACATGCACTACAGGTATGTATCCCAGGTACATCTCTGTATGTGTACCCAAGACAAGAGGAACTAGGATACAGGACGCTACAGTAGGATGAGTCGGCACTGCGGGTCCAGTTCATGGACTCAGGACAGGGAAGATCTTCTTCAGCCGATCGGAACTATCATAGCAAAGTTTAAGAGACATAGAGAGGACTATACAAGCATATTCAGTGCTGATACAGTGCTCATATTCCAAGATGCACAGTTTTATCCACCATTACTCATAATCAGTCACGCCTGAACTCCATCATGAACTGATTTCAGTTTGGGCGAGGAATATGGACTCATTTAGGGCACCAGGTACTCCTCTGTATTATGATTTTTGCTGGGTACATTTCTAAATACAGAAATGTTCTCAGGGTACATATCTGTAGTACTAGTACCCTATCAGCACAAATAACAATGAATTTTAGCAATTTTAGTATATTTTGTTAACAAATAGTGTGAAAGGACGTATATGTATATGTTTTGTCTGCAGGTTTATCAAAGAATGTGAGGATATGCTGGAGAAAGACATTGCTGTAAACAAGAATATTGGAAAATATGGTGCTGACCACTTGCTGACAGTGTCCAAGAATCAACCGGTGAAAGTCCTCACCCACTGCAACACTGGCTCCCTGGCTACTGGAGGCTATGGAACAGCGCTGGGTAGGTGCTTCAGTCTTAACGTAACCTTGATACTTGTTATTAGTATATGTGACCTGAGACTCAACAACATTGAAACTTGTGATTTTATATCTGACTTTTTGCAATATGAAATGATGAGAACAAAAATGGATTTTTTAAAAGATGGTTGTTACATCCAAAATGTATTTATTTTGAATTTATTTGTTTCATAGGTTTGTTAGAGAATTGTTATGGTTTACACAAGTGTCTAAACACTTTGGTTTATCGTCAAATTGTAGCGGGTTGAATTTAGTGGTTTCAAAGGGGCATAACTGCTGGGAAGGGATGTGTTTTTGAATTGTGTATGTCACCTGCTTGCAATGTGAGCAGCTATTTTCTGAAAGCAGATGGTCTACAATATATTCCGAGGAAACTTGTATTGAATTGACTCAGATCTGCTATGAACTACAATGGTAACCCCAAACTAGTCCTCCTTCGAAGGTCAGCTCTCCCTGATGGTGAATAGTTCCTTTGCAGCAGAAGGAAAACCTACCAACCATCGCAGACATCTGTTTCAGGCCAGGAACACAAGGCTTGCTTCCTTCCTTCCTTCACAGAACTGACTGAAAGAATTCACAGTTGACATGAGACATTCTAATTTATTGTAGGTGTAGTAAGAGCCCTTCATGAGAGAGAGAAGATGTCACATGCATACTGCACTGAAACCAGACCCTACAACCAGGGTTCAAGGCTAACTGCATATGAGTTAGTCCACGACAAGATTCCTGCAACTCTAATCTGTGACAGCATGGCAGCTTTACTCTTGGAGCAACAGGATATTTCAGCCATTGTTGTTGGTGCAGACAGAGTTGTTGCCAATGGTGACACTGCCAACAAAATAGGGACATATCAACTGGCTTTAGTGGCCAAGCATCACAACGTGCCATTCTATGTTGCTTGTCCTTCAACAAGCTTTGACCCGACCTTAGCCTCAGGGAAGGAGATTAAGATAGAGGAACGAGCCAGCGAGGAGATGACTAGTGTGAAGGGAGTCCGAGTTGCAGCTCTTGGTGAGTAGGAGACACTGTTGTAAGAAGATAAGGTAATGACAAGTACGTGGATAAAATACATTTCCACATGTGATACATGCTAAAATGTTGTTCGCCAGACATGCTTCATGTCCTGAAAGTTGCAACACTCCGGTATATATATGGATACAACAATACATACACAATGCCTTTTGCAATATTTATTTTCTGTGTCCTTGTATTTTGGGTCTAAGAGTTGAACCAGATTCACTATCATTTGTATCATTTAAATGAAAATCTACACAGGAATTCATTTACCAGTTAGTTTTCCTATGGAAACTGATTGTCAAAGCAAAACATGGAAGTGATTTTGCTCTCATGTTATCTCCCCTGTACTTATGACTACAAAATGGAAGCGACTGACGATGCCGAAAGTATTTACATAGTGTGTAGAAAATAGTATCTGCATGTCGGGTGAAGGTCAGACACTGCCAAACATTTCAGCTTATGAAATATTACAGTATATTTACAATTGTTTGCTTGTACACAGAGTGTGATGTAAAGCCTCAAGCAGAGAGCAGATATTCTGTTCCCCTCCACAAACACTAAGTGGTCAGTTCCTTGTACCGGTGTTGTTTTTGTTGTCCAGGAATTAACTGCTGGAACCCAGGGTTCGACATCACCCCTGCCAGCCTCATCACTGGGGGCGTCATCACCGAGTTTGGGGTGTTTTCAACAGGTGACCTCAAGGCACGACTCGCAGACTGCTTGAAGATGGATAGTTGATTGACAGAGAACTGAATTAATTTTAATAATTCTAGAGCAGTATTCAAGAATATATACTTTGTGTCACGGTCTTTTTGGTATGTCTTATCTTGGGTAACAATTTGTTAATTTCATGTTCAAGGAAAACAGAATTACTTTCTCAACTTCTGCTATTTTGATAATTTGCTTTTATGAGAATCATTTTCTTCTTTATGTGTATAAGTTATAGATCTGTAGCGGGGAGCGGAGGCATCCCACAGATGACATCCTTAGCTTGTGAGTTTGCCGACAGGGTTACCCACTTTAGTCATGTGGACAAGGCGTCCAATCAGAAGGTCCATGGTTTAAAAATCCCACTACAGTTACACAACAGGCCATGTTGATTCCTGCTTTCCTGAAAACTGGAGTAGTATTTAGATTTAAGTCAAAATCATTGTGAGGATCTGTGACTAGTAGACATAGATCTGTATCGTTTTGGCTGAAGAATCTGCACATCTTTGACAGCTGATTGTTGCGATAGTCTGATGATTATTTGCAATACTTGGAGGTAGAGCAGGACATGCTGGCCCTTTTAGTGAACACCTGGTGCCAACCTGGAGTTTCAGTGGTCCCTAGGTTCAGTTTACCCCCAAGTTTTCTTATTTCTTACAGTGGAATCTGTTTCAGGTAGTCGAGACAGTTTATTCTTTGGCATGGTATATTCATGTTCAGTTATATATTATATTTTGTCTTTTTGTAGTGGTTGAAATAATGATGGTTATGAAACCTATTTTTATCTGATTCCCAATCCCGCTTGTCTTAAGAGGCGACAAACAGGATCAGGTGGTCAGACTCACTGAGTCATATCTCAACTGCATAGATCAATACTCATGCTGTGTGATCACTGGGTTGTCTGGTCTAGACTCCTTTATTTACAAACCACCACCATATACCTGGAATATTGCAAAATCAAAACTGATTCCCCATCTTCATACGGTCATGGTCTTCTGTTGTGTGTGCCTCACTTTCACATGATGGCACTTCCATTGTAGACTCGGTGTCGTATGACAGTTATACTGACATCTTCAGTGTCAGCTTGTAATTACAGTATACCCTGGTTATAATGCCACCATTTGTCCAGGAGAAAATATGGCATTATATCCAGGGTGGCATTATATCCAGGGTGGCATTGTAACCAGGTAGGACATCATGATCAACAGGCTTGTTGGTGGTACGGTGTTGTCTATGCCATCAACAAGGTGATTCAGCTCATGTCTCCTGTGATGAGCCTTGAGTGACTGGATAATCCCAGCATCTCGGGGGCTGCAGGTGACTGGATAATCCCAGCATCTAGGGGCTGCAGGTGACTTGTTGTTGTAGGTGGCAGGAAGTGTATTGTCGCATGTGTTGACTACTTAAAGCATTAATGAGTTTGTTCAATTAATCTGGGTTATGTCAATTAACCAATTATGGTATGTATACTAGATGCAGCTAGTGTAATTGACATTATAACCAGGGGAAAATGACGTTTGTTCCAAAAAACATTGGCAAATGGCATTATATCCGTTTGGCATTATGACCATGGTGCACTGTACTGATTTAGGTGTTACTGATGGTACCTGAATCTACCTGACTAGCAGAATGTGTGTACCTGCATCTGTGAATGTCTGTGTCTGGGTGTTTGCTCTTGTGTATGTATCGGGTTTGGTTAGGAAGGCTAATGATAGCAAGTGTGTTTGTGGTGTGTGTACTATGCTCAAAGTGCCACTATGTTAGTAGATTTCTAAGGGTATGTCTTATCACGTCATATTCAATGTGGGTCTAGGTGTATACCAATTCCCCCATGTTATTGACAGTTCTAATGATTTTGCCAGTATGAACCTGCACTGTTAAAGTTTGTTACTGTAATTACCTCAGTGATAATTACACATGCCACTTATTTGTGTCAAGCATTTTATACTGTTAATTGTATGCATACAATTTTACATAAGAAAATTTCAAGTTATATCTTGCAAGCCATTCTTTTTGCTATGAGCTGAAAAAGTCAAGCCATGCCCTCTAGCCAAATGATTTTTATTGGCTGATAACAGAATGTGTTCAATAAGGTGCTGATTTTGTATTATCATCAGCAGATGTTTATATGTTGTTTAATAAATATTCAGTCTGTGTGGTTATTATTGTTGACATATTTATATACTGAGTGGACTTCAATATGTTGTGCATTTAGTGAGATATAGACATGAAAGAACGGTATGCACACTGTGCCTAAATATGTTAATCCGATTTACCTGGTATGCACACTGTGCCTAAATGTGTTCATCTGATTTACCTGGTATGCACACTGCCTAAATGTGTTCAACCAATTTACCTGGTATGCACACTGTGCCTAAATGTGTTCATCCGATTTACCTGGTATGCACACTGCCTAAATGTGTTCAACCAATTTACCTGGTATGCACACTGCCTAAATGTGTTCATCTGATTTACCTGGTATCAAATGTGTTCATCTGATTTACCTGGTATGCACACTGCCTAAATGTGTTCAACCAATTTACCTGGTATGCACACCTGGTGCCTAAATGTGTTCAACCAATGTTCATCCAATTTACCTGGTACCTGGTATGCATCACCTGTGCCTAAATATGTTAATCCGATTATGCACACTACATCTGGGTATGCACACTAAATGCACATGCACACTGCCTAAATGTGTTCATCCGATTTACCTGGTATGCACACTGTGCCTAAATATGTTCATCCGATTTACCTGGTATGCACACTGTGCCTAAATGTGTTCATCCGATTTACCTGGTATGCACACTGTGCCTAAATGTGTTCATCCGATTTACCTGGTATGCACACTGTGCCTAAATGTGTTTACCTGGTATGCACACTGTGCCTAAATGTGTTCATCTGATTTACCTGGTATGCACACTGTGCCTAAATGTGTTCATCTGATTTACCTGGTATGCACTGCTTAAATGTGTTCATCTTGATTTACCTAGTGCCACACTGTGCCTAAATTGTTCATCTGATTTACCTATGGTATGCACACTGTTTACTGGTATGCACACTTGCAAATATGTTCATCCGATTTACCTGGTATGCACACTGTGCCTAATGTGTTCATCTGATTTACCTGGTATGCACACTGCCCTAAAATGTGTTCAACCAATTTACCTGGCCTAATGCACACCTGGTATGCACTAAAAATGTGTTCATCCAATTTACCTGGCACACTGTGCCTAAATGTGTTCACCCTGGTATGCACACTGTGCCTAAATGTGTTCAACCAATTTACCTGGTATGCACACTGTGCCTAAATGTGTTCAATTTAAATGCATCTGGTTTTACCTGGTATGCACACCTGTGTGTTCATCCGATTTACCTAAAATGTGTTCATCTGATTTACCTGGTATGCACACTGATTTACCTTTCATCTGGTATGCACACTGTGCCTAAATGTGTTTCATGTGTTAAATGTGTTCATCTGATTTACCTGGTATGCACACTATGCACACTGTGCCTAAATGTGTTCATCTGATTTACCTGGTACCTAAATGGTATTTACCTGCACACTGTGCCTAAATGTGTTCATTTACCTGATTTATGCACACTGTGCCTAAAATGTGTTCATCTGATTTACCTGGTATGCACACTGTGCCTAAATGTGTTCATCCGATTTACCTGGTATGCACACTGGTATGCATACTGCCTAAATGTGTTCATCTGATTTAAATGTGTTCATCCATCCGATTACCTGGTATGCACACTGTGCCTAAATGTGTTCATCCGATTTACCTGGTATGCACACTGTGCCTAAATGTGTTCCTGGTATCACACTGTGCTAAAATGTGTTCATTTACCTGGGTATGCACACTGTGCCTAATGTGTTCATCCGATTTACATTGTAAATGTGTTCATCTGATTTACCTGGTATGCACTGTGCCTAAAATGTGTATCACACTGTGCCTAAATGTGTTCATCTGATTTACTGCCTAAATGTGTTCACCAATTTACCTAGTATGCTGTTCATCCGATTTTTCATCTGATTTACCTGGTATGCACACTGTGCCTAAATGTGTTCATCCGATTTACCTGGTATGCACACTGTGCCTAAATGTGTTCATCTGATTTACCTGGTATGCACACTGTGCCTAAATGTGTTCAACCAATTTACCTGGTATGCACACTGTGCCTGCCTATGTGTTCCTAGTATGCACACTGTGCCTAAATGCCCGATTTACCTGGTATGCACCTGTGCCTAAATGTGTTCTTACAAGTAAAACTTACACACATTATTAAAGGTAGAATGAATTCAGAAAACATTTTGAATTTCCCTCTGGTAACAGTTCTATAAATCAGAACTGTTAGTCACATCAAATGGCACATTGTTATGATGTATTTATATGTGTCTGTGCGTCAAAGGGGTGTTACCATGCCTAGAATAAGAACTGGTCGCCTCGGAGTTGCATACCGTGGCAAAGTGCCCCGACTATGTTGAATTCTGACATGGGGCTAGCACTATAACACTGGCATACGTCACACACAAACGCACGCACATTTTTTTGTTGATATGTAACAGTCATGAGCACTGCATAAACCCAAGTCCACCTAACCTCGGAGGGATGTAGAATGAAATGATTCTCATGTTTTCAGGCATGTCATTAGCTGGAGTATCGAGCATGGTCTCGATGATATAAATAATATTCCAAATATGGCAGTAACTTCTGTTATGGTAATATCCACTGCATGCACATTTGCAGGGCTGGTTTTCTGAGTTAAACGCTAGTTGTTCATGGCAAGAAACCCTTTGAATATTCCAGGGAAGAAGTGGTCCCAGTTACCCCAGCTTGTCGTCTGAATGTGATCGGCAACTATGGCTGCATTTGCGTGCGTGTACTCAAGCCCAGATGGTGTGGGTTCTTGTGCTTTAAGTCACTGATTCTCCTGGCACGTTATTGATATTGCTGACTGCAGCGTTAACCACTTCTTCAGTTATGTTTGGAACCCCTATAGCGGTTGTCCCCCTAAGGGGATTCCGGATCAGAGAGGTACCATGCAACGAGCAGATCAGATGATCAGGCACGTTTACTTGGTGGATTGTGTGTCATTGTAGTCGAATTTAGTACAGAGTTGTTCATCACTGGATTGTGTGGTCCAAATTATCCCATGTCCAAGTACAAATATGACAACAAATCATCCCATTGGTACAGCAAGTCCTCGAGAATGAGAATAATCCTGTCTCATATGTCTGTCGGTTCACAAAAAAAGTTAACAATACAATTTGGGATTTGGAACTATATATTTGTAAGTAATATCATTGATTTTGCAAAGATATGAGTTAGAACATGTCATCATTACCTGAAGTTCTGTCAAAGATTCCAAGCAGCAGTGAACATTTTGGTCATTATAAGCGCACTGAAGTGAAGTGGTATAATAGTAGTAATGGTAAGTTTTGGAGACATGCTCTGGAAACTTTGAGTGGCATTTCAGAAATTGGGAAGTACAATAATGACATATTTTATGAATAAGAACGTTCGACACTGATTCTTGTCCCGTTGTCAAGCCGGAATGTCTGCTTCCCGACTCAGTGTGCGCTTCCACAACTTGTGATGTGTAAAGAGTTACCGTTTGCCGCCATATTAGGAACCGGGACAATTTAAGGATATCTTAAAACTATTTCCCTTCTGTTCGGGGATCGGAATAATTCCTTCCTGTAACTTATATTGCTACTTGATATAATAATTGATAGGGAGATATGTTCAGAATTATTAGCGATATCTTTAATTAGATTTACATATCAATAATAACGGTCAGAATTGAAGATATACGTGTTCATTCATGAAAGAATAGACATGCGACCCGGACAAAAACAATTACGAGCGAGAAGACTAACAGACGGATGGGCAGACAGACAAGCTGATTATTATATCCCCAGTGTTACATACACAGCGATAAAACAAGTAACGCTAACATACAAGTAATGTAGGAATGTTCAGATGGTATAGAAGGGGTTATTTCAATAACACATATATGCATACAGTAAACAACTCGCGATGGAGGCCCACTGGTATGTACCAGACAGGTTCTGATGATGTTACCCAACACTGTTCTGTGGTGTCTACAGGAAGGGTTCTGATGATGTAACCCAACACTGTTCTGTTGTGTCTACAGGAAGGGTTCTGATGATGTTACCCAACAATGTTCTGTGGTGTCTTCAGGAAGGGTTCTGATGATGTTACCCAACAACGTTCTGTGGTGTCTACAGGAAGGGTTCTGGTGATGTTACCTAAAAATGTTCTGTGGTGTCTACAGGAAGGGTTCTGGTGATGTTACCCAACAATGTTCTGTGGTGTCTGCAGGAAGGGTTCTGATGATGTTACCTAACAATGTTCTGTGGTGTCTACAGGAAGGGTTCCCATGTTGTTACCCAACAATGTTCTGTGGTGTCTACAGGAAGGGTTCTGATGATGTTACCCAACAATGTTCTGTGGTGTCTACAGGAAGGGTTCTAATGATGTTACCCATCAATGTTCTGTGGTGTCTACAGGAAGGGTTCTGATGATGTTACCCAACAATGTTCTGTGATGTCTACAGGAAGGGTTCTGATGATGTTACCCAACAATGTTCTGTGATGTCTACAGGAAGGGTTCTGATGATGTTACCCAACAATGTTCTGTGGTGTCTTCTACAGGAAGGGTTCTGATGATGTTACCCAACAATGTTCTGTTGTGTCTACAGGAAGGGTTCTGATGATGTTACCCAACAATGTTCTGTGATGTCTACAGGAAGGGTTCTGATGATGTTACCCAACAATGTTCTGTGATGTCTACAGGAAGGGTTCTGATGATGTTACCCAACAATGTTCTGTGATGTCTACAGGAAGGGTTCTGATGATGTTACCTAACAATGTTTTGTGGTGTCTTCTACAGGAAGGGTTCTGATGATGTTACCCCAAACTGTTCTGAGGTGTCTACAGGAAGGGTTCTGAAGATGTCACATCCTCCAAAGCGAGTTCCCAGTTTTGAAGCCTCCGCGTATAGTGCAGGGGCTTGTGTAATTCCGTGTGAATTACATGTTAATTTTTGGAACCAATACTAATTGTAATCAATGTTGTGTATGGATTCAGGAAAAACATGGTTCCATTTTTTCTGTTTGCTATAAGTGTCTTTGTAGGGTGATTGAATATGAGTTCCCAAAATTGCTTGCGACACTATTTCGAGACAAAACATGTTTTCATAAGCCTATCACAACATAGTCATGTAGCATATCACAAGGCAGCTTATGATGTAGGGCACAGATATAACCACATAATATGCTTCTAATTTCAATATATTGACATAAAATATGACATTATCATGTGAATTAATCAAATATTGTCTTTCCTTCATCGGACACCAACATTGTAAGTATTGGCCTATATTAATGAAAACCATTTATTCAATTAATGTATTCTCCCATTTCATAATATATACTACCATGACACACCTATGTACGTAGTACTAATAGTACCCAGATAAGGTTAATGTGACTATCATATAGTCGTGCACAAGTGCCAAATCAGGACTTCCAGTACAGTCAGAATTGACACACTGACACTCGTGCCTGGGTAATTAAATGACAAATGACATAAAGCCAAATCTGCAGTCAATACAAACTGAATGTATTAATACAGGAGTGACAAATTATATCACAGTAAACAGATAACTACATGTTACAAGTGGGGTATGCAAGTGAAATATATAATGTTCACTAGTATATTTATTTTAACTTTCACATTATTAAGTAACTTGCATAGTCAATCAATCCGTCATTAACCTGCAAGAACAAAATATGCTGTTGAAATGCAAGCTTCGACATTATTTATCATCCAAACACAAGCATGAATTCTTTTTTTTTCTTAATTTGGAAACTAGAAGGGCCCTCGTTAGAGAACATGTCTCCGCCTTGCACAGCAATTTCCTTTCACTATTACGTTTTTAAAGTACTACTGTGTACTTGTACTTTAATGTACTTTCACCAAACCGTACGCAGATAGCCCTTGTGTTATACCTAACATAACCACTAAGATTCATTCAAATCCGTCCATAACTTATTGAGATATTATTCATATTCTCCATTTATTTAACATTGCGATTATTTTCAAAGTACCTCTGTGTGCATGTACTTTAACATACACTCCTCCAAAAAAGAAAGAAAAAGAGACTCAAAATAAAATTTGAAAAAATGAAATTTTGTACGCAAATGTCAAATTAAGCATGTTTTGAGGGTTGAATATTGTTGTTGGTGTGGTTTAGAAGAACATGCGTGAGCGAATGCAACCATAAACGATTTTGAATGGTTTTATCGATCATGATTGTCATGATGAGCTTGACTGGTATGGAACACAACGAAAAGCCGCAATTATTGCTTTTCGCGCGCAACCTATGACTATAAAAGACCCAAATGCATCTCGCAAATTCATCCAAGACCCTTGCAAATACTGGATGAGAAAATGGGACGTCTCAACGGTGCCCATTGGACGATTACAAGCTGGCGAATCCAAGAGTGTCGTGGCGAGGACCTTCAGCATTCATCCAGCACAATAACTCGAAGTGGGATCGTTTTGTGCATTCCATTTCGACAAATGACCATCCAAGACCAGGAAGACCGTGAGTCACCACACAGCCCAAGATCGCTACATCCGGGACACAGCACAAGAACGGTTTGGAGCCCGGAGAATGTCCGACCAGACAATCAGGAACCGTCTCCGAGAGGTAGGTATGCGTGCCAGACGTCCAGACGTTGCCCTCTCACTGACACGATTACATCAACGTCCGTGAGTCAGGTGGTGTAACGCGGTGCAGCCATGGAACCTTGGAAACTGGAGGCACATATGATTCAGTGATGAATCGAGGTAGCACCTCAAGCGACGTGACGGAAGACAACGTGTCTACAGACCACGCAATGAACATTGTGCATCCAAATGCATCAGGCAAGATGGTGAAGATGGTGTGATGATGTGGGGAGCCACCGCATACACCTACGGATCGGAATTGGTGCTCGTCCAAGGCAATCTTACGGCCGCGAGATATACCGATTAGATTCTTTGTCCTCACGTGCATCGTCTTGTCGACCGCCAAAGGAAGCTGTAGCAACAGGACAACGCCAGACCTCACACAGCACTTGCTACAGTGGACTACCTGGACAATAACAACATCAATGTCCTCCCCCGGCCCTCCAGATCCCGGATCTGAAACCAATTAATTACCTGTGGGATCAGATGGATAAACGTAAATGTCAACGTCGTTATCAGCCATTGAGGCTTTAACAGTAACTGTTGTTTAAAATGCTGCAGGTGCAATGGAGAAGGATTCCACAACGAAACATCCAACAACCGATTCAGTCTGTGTCAAGGAGGTGTTCTAGCAATAAGAGGTGGCCATACAAAGCAGTAACGTCAACGTCACCTCGTGGACAGCAGTAATGACTACGATGGCTATCATTCTTGCGAAATGTGCACGAGATACCAATATATTGCACTACATAATTTCAATGCTGTATCGTTTATTTTCGTTGAGTTACATAATTGAATAAGACCAAATTTTTCAATGATATTTTGCTTTTGCGTTTCTTTTTTATGAAGAGTCTACTTTTACAACATCTAATTGATTTGTCCTGGGGACATACCCAAGAGACACAGAAAGTTTCATTGAAATCCATCAAGCAGTATTTGAGTAAATATGCTAACACATAAACATATACACACACAAACAGGGTTGAATGCATACCCTCTGCAACAAACCTTCGGTTTTGGCAGGATCACTTATGATCATAGTGATTATTATGCATGCATATATTATTGAGATTCATGATATATAACGATAGTTGTAAAACACCCATCACAAGGTACATTTTGATATACTACATGCCTATGTTGTGATAGGTTTATAAAAATATGTTTTTCTCACATTGGTGTTGCAGTTCGATTATGGGTACCGACGTTCAGTTACCCCAGAATGACACTTATAATCAGCAGAAAAATGGAACCATGTTTTTTTCTGAATCCATATGCAATACTGATCACAATAATCAGTGGTTCCAAAAATTAACATGCACTTACCACGGAAAGCATTTATTGCTACATAAGCCCCTGCATTAGTATGCGATTCTCTGGTACCTTGCCGGTTGAGAACAGCGACGAGTCTTCAGTGATAATATTCAGTAGTATTGAGATCAAGGATTCACGGCCTCTTGTTAGTTTTTTCCACATGCTACGGTTAGGACATGGCACAACAGCAATTAGTTGATGACCTTAGTACCAACCTATTCTGCGGACTTTCTTGAATTTCTCTTTTTCAGTTTGTGTGGATACAGAGATACCCCTAATGCAGTAAACCTGTGTTATTGACCTGTCATGTTTTGTCTTCTCCATAAATAACTTACAAACGAATTACTATACTGACAAGCTCATACTAAAATAAACCTGAACTTTTTATCAATATCAGCCAAACGCCTTGAAATCGAGCGTTCCAAACACCCACGTCAACCATAAAACTATTTTTGTACACTACTCAGAGTTTATGATGGCACTGTCGTATCCCTAGCCATAGCCAGTAGTGGCCATGTGGTCTTGGGGTTGAAGGTAGGCTTTGAGGTCTTCAGATTGATTTGTAGTGTGGGCCTGAGACTTTCCATGGAGACTGGTAATGTGTTCAGCTGCAGCTGCACTAACACAAATCTAAATAAACATAATTATTAGCATCATGTACTTGTATGTTTTTGTGGAAGATATTTATGTGTATTTAACGGTCAGAAACATGCTGTTCCGGCTGTAATCCCCCGAATATCGAAAGGTCGGCCATATATTGACCGTGAAGAACAAACAGTTCCCGCCGTGTCACCGAGCCAGTTCCACTGTTATGGCTACACTGACTTTATCGTATAGAACACTTGTGTAACATCTTGTACAACACTTCCTCCCACGTAAAGCTGCATATAAAGCAAAAGAAACTGGAATGTTGTGTACAGTGGCGTTACACCCAACTCACTCACTCACTAACTCTTGAAATAAAATACAGCTACGACATCACTCTACTGTAGAATATCTGTAATGACTTGATGGTTTACTTGTCATGGGGTGTTCACGCAATGTCAGCATAAAACATATGGTCAATGTTAGTAATAATAATATTATGTCATCGCTATAATTAAAAACAGGAAATACTGCAATGCCTTTTCTAATTCAATGCAAATATAATTTTCAGGATTTAATTCTAATCACGTGCATTACGAATGTACCTATTACAAAGATCCAATCGCACAAAACGCACATATGCAACTATACAATATGCAGGATTATAGTTCAAATGCAGCGCGGATATAGGCGCACGAAGTTCCTGTATTATGAATGTACTGCATGATTCCATAAGTCAGGGGAACACCACGTGTCACAGGACATTACAGACAATGATATATCACATGCTGTGACAGGTTCTAATGATATTACCCATCAATGTTTTGTCGGATTCATACCTCTGGTAATTGCAACAAGTGGTGCTTCAGAGGAGCGCTGTGTATTCAGGACGAGAGTCGTGTGGCATTTGTTGTTTAAATGACCAACATAGGCGGATCCAGCAATTTGCAAATGCCAAACATTAACTTCAATGTGACTTCAATGCGGTTCGAACCCCCCTGAACCAACCGCAACCGCAACTATCGCTCTCGAAGGCTAAATGACCAACGCGCGCAGTTTGGAGTTCTGTCCCTGAGGCGGAACAGGATCCGATGATCGGGGATTCGATTTCCACGTTCTCATGGCTTTCCTCCAACATTAAACTGACACGATCTACGATTCCTGAAATAAAGTTCAAGGCAGTGAGAAATTCACTCACCCGCTCACTCATGTGGGTATTATGTTGACAAAACAACTTCTGCCCAACAAGGACTTCAATTAGCGTGTGTATGTTGGCGAAGTCAAGTCAACATGACTGCACTGGCATTAACTCAGACGCTGCTTCGACGAGGTAGTAGATTAGGGAACTATAGCCGCCGGAGTCTGCGAGGCTGCTGTCTTTTCCATTTATCTTAAATACTTCAGAACGCCGTATCTATTGATGACGATTTCGGCGGAACATTTACACAGGCAGGTCACGTAGAGAATCCTTGATAACCCCACGGCGTTTCTTGTCGCAGGGTCATTAAACAGTGGCTGGAATCAAAGGACTTCAACTGAATGTTGATCACCAAGTCTTCAAGAAGAAATTACATTGGGAACGGAACCTGTGGCGGTCTTTATGGGGAATCGAAACTAGCATACCGACGGGTGTCAACTCAGGCAAGAAAACTGCTTCTCCAGTGAAGTACATTTCATTCTCGTTTATAAGCTTTCCTTCAAATCATACTCTATCTTCTAATTGAAGACGTTTCTAAGCGTACATTCAATGCGCGGACGTCACAGATTTAAAGTGGTAAACATTCGAGTCCGAATGTTTGTCTGTATAGCGGGGTGAACCATGTGGAGTGTGGAAGAAAGAGCGGCCGTATTTGTATCGATCTGTGAGGTTTGATGGCACGCCACCGCGCAATGATACATGCGGTAAGGAGCTGTGTTAGGGGTCGAGTACAGGGCGAGTTCCCTGCAGAGGGAGACCATGGTAAGGATGGGGAAGGGAACGCTAGCTTTCATCTCTCTCTTGTGGACTACTGCAGTGGGTAAGTTACCATTCCAGTATCCCCAGCCGGCAAACAATCCTTCAGTTTACATTGATTCTTGTCGTATATTCATGGCTCACATTGGCTTACTTTAAACTATTGGAACTACCAATATTGATCGACCATTGTATATTTTTAAATTATTTTGGAGGTATTTATCGACGTTCATGAATTGTCTGAGTTCAGGATTTGGTGGTTTTATGATCGTTTTAAGAGTTTCGGTGTTAACGACATATTAGTGTTATATTATGGTTGCGAAACAGACTCTAATGCGCTCCTCATCAATTTGCTGGTAACGGCATCGAACAATATATCCCCATAACACTGGTTGCGCCAGCTACAGCCTACATCGGCCGCAGTTCCTAATGATGTGTATATGGTAATGCCGTGTGTTCATGTGTTTCCATTCTACTCCTTCATCTGTTGTTTGATAACCATTTCTTATACTCCACATTTTACTCCAAACGATGTTATATTGGGTTTCATGAAGAGAAAATCTTTAAAATTCTTGTTTGACAAACAGAACTCATATGAAGAAGTTTATGACTGCGCAGAGAGACAAGCGGGTCAATGTTATCTTCTTTCCTGACAGATATGGTACTTTGTGTAGTCCCGTTTATTAATGGAAGTTTGATGCTGTAATCAAGAACACTGTAATAAAGGGAACGATTGTTAGCATTGAGTCTCGTTATCTTGGCCAAAGGAGATTATTTATTGTTCCTGGGAGTCTTGAAATAGGCCTCATCAAATCATTTCCCCGACCAAATGCCACAACGACCATGTGTGGCTACAGAAGAACAGAATAGGACAGTGTGAGTTTAGACGAACACCTAAAGCAGAAGGAAACAAAATGAAACGCAAAACGATAGGATCTTCTTGCAATCAGTTAAAAAGATTCCCTGTCAGTCACGTGTACAAGGTCTTGGGTCCAATTACATTAGCCCTCGGCTCAACAAGGGGCCTCTTGGTATTGATTAAATGGTTTTGATCAGTTCTGCTTGTTATAGGAAGATTTATTTTTAGATCAATTTATTTTTATTGTTTGAGTATTGATATTTCTGAGTTTGAAACCTCAACATGAAAATCAGATTCTTAATTCCTGGTGAAGTCATGAGTGATATCAAAATCACTGCATTCAAGTCGAAATAGTATTTTTTGATATTATTCATTGTTTAATTTTTAATTGTATGCGTAATCAGAATTTTCCTTGAAGGAAAGTGATTTCGCTAAAAGATAGTTCATTCGCCGTGCTATCTGTTCAAACGAATATATCATGTATAAAGGAACTAATTATGCTACCTATACATAAGGGAAACTGTTGTCGTGAAGATGTTAACTGGTCGTATTATACATGTTTACATTGTTACAATCAGAAACCACGGACCCTGGGTCGCCATATTGTCATTGGAAAGGTTTTCACGTTCTCATATTCAGTACGTGTACAGAATCCAGAAACATCACCTAGACATGACATTAATTCTAATCCCACCGGGATGTCACCATCACCATTACCCATGTTGGTGGTATCATCCTTTTCATCTGTTCACTTCAGTAAATACAAAGATGCCTATCTGTCAAAGGTATATTGTGCTATCTGTAACTCAGGTTTGTCCCACGACGGCTGCGACGATGGCTGGGTGGCCTTGCACCACCACTGCTACTACTTCGGTATACTGGAGGGGGATGTGGCACCTGCCATCAGCGCGTGCAGTGGGAAAGACGCTCACTTGGCCAGTCTGTGGGGTGGGGAGGAGAGGGACTTTGTTGTGGACAAACTGTGGAAGGTAAGTGCGGAGGGGTACAGTGCGAGTGCGTAGTGATACAGAGGGAGTCAGTTCCTGTGTCAGCCATCAATGTATCTTCTAAAACATCATCCTTTGCAGCACAAATCTAGGGAATGAAGTAAAAATATTTAATCAGCTAATGTCCAGATAAAACATCTCTGCAAGTCCGCACAATAAGCTACAATGACAAGTGATAACCTTTTAGCAATTGTAGGTAGAATGAAGATAAAGGTAACTAACGAGCTGTCTCCTGTGTAATTCTAAATACTCCAAGAACAAACGGCCGATTGCCACGTGCGCTCGTAGACGTGTCAAAATATAAACTGAGAGACTGTGAGATTATGCCCTCAGCAACTATGCCCTCACAACAGACTGCTATATGACGATCCACCATCATATCTGTAGCACTGTGCGTGGTTTGGAATATTCATTCACCCAACTAAAAACATCACTAAAATACTATGCAAAAACGATTTCTCCGTTGATATTGCCCAATGTGTAATTATATCTTCAGAACGCCAGTAAATAAAAATATTGCAATAATTTGTACTGAAAAGAGCCCCTTAAGCACGTCTTTCTGTTAGAGGGCTCGTCTATCTGGGAATGATACTGAGTGTTATTTGGCAGTTCGGGTACTCCTTACAGGGAATCAATAGGAACTGCCGGACGTCGTTCTGCCAGCCTCATTCCTTCACACATATCCATATTATCCAGTCCTCAGCCGTGGCGTTATAGCCGGTATATCCCTGTCCCTCCTGACGTAACGAGCTGTGCGGAGTGCAGGAAGGCAACCACTCCTAATAATACCCAGAGAAAGACATTTATGCACTGTTGAAAGTTGATGGATTTACTACACTGAACTACTAACTTCCGTTTCGTGATATGAAAACAGGTTTAAATAGTATCATATACATGTGACCCCACCACACAGGAGGACAGATTCCGCGCAGAAACAAATATAATTATTCCTGTTCCATTATAAGCAATAGTAACCAGACACATAGGGGAGATGCGTCTCCACTTACACATATCAATTGATGGCATTGCTCTTCCTATCTTTCCACATGAAAGACCATGTCCAAACAAGACGGACTCTTCAAATTCATAGGAACTTTGGGTCTGGTAGAAGTGTATATGTATGAACTGGACATCGATACTGATGTAAATGAATACATTAAACACTAGGCTCTGGAAGTTGACACGTGAAACATATATGTTGTGGTGGCGTTGTACATTTACAATTAATACATCGGGTGTTCAGTTAAAGCTTGATAGAGCCCTGTCCAACGGTAAACACCCGCCTTGAGAGAAGATAAAGTCAACCTAGACATGTGAAATCTCCTGAGGATGACAAACGCGCGCAATTCGTTACAAAACTTGAAGGCCTTAGACAATCGGACGATATTTTCAAACAAGGTCGGAAATGCCATCTGGAAACTGAGAGTCCCTGGTAATGCAGGTCGCCATGTCTCGGAAACGCAACAGAGCAGTTGAAGTATTTTCAAAATGAAATGTCGCATCTGCATCTGCAAATATTTCCAGATACTGATGTTCCCAAGAAGTGTAAGATGTGGACCCAAATGTTCCGGGTCATAGGGTGTACTGACTGGCACGAAGGGAAAATTGATTTCTGAAAAATTGAAGTGATCCTTATTTTATACAGGTTTTCTGTGGAAATGCCAAATATTTGAAGTGTCTGTACATAGATTACGGTATGAGGGTAACAAACTTAACTCAGTCGTCTCTCTGATTTCCAAGTCCATTTCCACAGCAGCCATTGTCGACCAATCCTTGACTGTCAATGGAAATAATGGCTAGTTTCAAAGAAAATTTTAATATCGAAAGGTTGTGGAGGACAGTTCTTGAAAAACCTTGAGTATTCGAGAATACATAAAAGGAAATTTTGCTTTGAACCGTAATTTGGCGAAGGAAAGCTAATAAAATGGCATTCTATTTATATCATATTTCAGCCCAAGAGCAGCCCGACACTGTCCCTGCTCCAGAACAGTGTTTACGCAGCCATTGCTCGGAACGTGATGCCCGCGGCACGATAGCCGGACACTAAACGATTTGATTTAGAAAAGGGATTTCCTCTTTAGACGTGATTTTCTTAAATTGTTCTCATGTTAGACATATCGACTGCCCTTATTGACTCGAGCTACGGTTCTCGTACTCCTGGCCAACTCTGAAGCTGTGTGTAGGTTGTTGAGTATTCTCTCGTTAGTCAGTGCCCATGGCATACGGGCGTCAAAACCTGACACACACCCGGTGAGTTTGTTAGACCATGTACCTCAACCCCGGGTCAAGTCTCGCAATATGAACACCCTTAATAACCAATTATTATAGTTATGACGCAGTGGTCATGTTTGTATTGGCCATAAAACATGGAATGGTTTGTTCATTAGAAAACACTCTGTTCAGAGTTCTTTTTAGTTTTAGGCATATTATGAATATAATACGTAAATACCTAGTCACTTTATATATGTATATATTTACCCTCAGAATCAACATACTGATCGTTCCATACAAAACCAAACCTTTTCGAGAATAGAAAATGTCTAACAGCAGAAACCCAATTTGTGTGTCCATTTTTATCGAATAGCATCATCATATTGTAACATTTCTTTGGTAGCCTATAAGAAGGCATCTTCAGTAATTTTAACCAGTATTTTATAACTCTGATATTTGTAAATAAATGCATCGGGTATTTACCACATTCTCCATACACCATTGTATTCATCGTATTGGATTTAACACCAAGAAATCTTTTACATGCTTTCAATTGAACTCTTTCAATATCACTGTAATAATTCAAACCCCATATTTCGTTAGTCAATATATCTTTATTTAGTTTGTATTTCAAACTCACGATGTACATCATAGAAAAGAAGGACATAGTTAAAACTTCAGCACGCCCACATTAATTCACACATCTATTCACAAATACGTCCTTCATAAAATTGCTGATTAGAAACCATGACCGAAAGACAATGATAATATATGCCGTGTTTATAACGACAGGCGTCACTGATTCTGTCAGAACCAAACGACGACCGAGTTAAGTACGCCATGTTTCATTCAGACATAGCCACCTAGAGCATAGTCTCTGTAAGTTGATTAGACTCCCTTCAAGTACGATTAGTTGGCCAATTACACCACAGGCTGGCAGCAGTCTCCCCAAACAGGCGGGAGAGACCATGAAGGAGGATTTGCTTGTGAATCTCAATCACATTTAGGAAACGTTCTCCTCAGTGTAGATCGATGTATCGATCTGACCGACCCCCACCGTAGTCAGTGAACTTTAGGATGGTGCCGTTTTCAGCTGACTAAGATATGACAGAATATTGACTGAAGAAACTAATGGTACTAGAAACTATATGACTTTTCATGCTTATGTCTTTGTAGATGGTCTCACGATGTAGCTGGGATACCGCGCCTTTCAGTTTCAGATTCTTGTCAAGTTTGTACACATTCAACTCCAAAGTGTGATATATACGGATACCACAACTCTCGTTCACTCACATCTGTACATATATAACGCACGCATGCACGCACGCACACACGCTCACATGCACACATAACTTACTTAGCTGGACGTATGAACCATTCCAAACCCGCAATAAACACACGAGTGATACTGTTTTAGGCGATCTCGCTATGTTCACAATAAACACATGGGTGATACTGTTTTAGGCGATCACGCTATGTTCACAATAAACACATGGGTGATACTGTTTTAGGCGATCTCGCTATGTTCACAATAAACACACGAGTGATACTGTTTTAGGCGATCTCGCTATGTTCACAATAAACACATGGGTGATACTGTTTTAGGCGATCTCGCTATGTTCACAATAAACACATGGGTGATACTGTTTTAGGCGATCTCGCTATGTTCACAATAAACACATGGGTGATAATTGTTTTAGGCGATCTCGCTATGTTCACAATAAACACATGAGGTGATACTGTTTTAGGCGATCTCGCTATGTTCACAATAAACACATGAGGTGATACTGTTTTTAGGCGATCTCGCTATGTTCACAATAAACACATGAGCGATACTGTTTTAGGCGATCTCGCTATGTTCACAATAAACACATGAGTGATACTGTTTTAGGCGATCTCGCTATGTTCACAATAAACACATGAGTGATACTGTTTTAGGCGATCTCGCTATGTTCACAATAAACACATGGGTGATACTGTTTTAGGCGATCTCGCTATTTTCACAATAAACACACGAGTGATACTGTTTTAGGCGATCTCGCTATGTTCACAATAAACACATGAGTGATACTGTTTTAGGCGATCTCGCTATGTTCACAATAAACACATGAGTGATACTGTTTTAGGCGATCTCGCTATGTTCACAATAAACACATGAGTGATACTGTTTTAGGCGATCTCGCTATTTTCACAATAAACACACGAGTGATACTGTTTTAGGCGATCTCGCTATGTTCACAATAAACACATGAGTGATACTGTTTTAGGCGATCTCTCTATTCGCTATGTTCACAATAAACACATGAGCGATACTGTTTTAGGCGATCTCGCTATGTTCACAATAAACACATGGGTGATACTGTTTTAGGCGATCTCGATATGTTCACAATAAACACATGGGTGATACTGTTTTAGGCGATCTCGATATGTTCACAATAAACACATGGGTGATACTGTTTTAGGCGATCTCGCTATGTTCACAATAAACACATGGGTGATACTGTTTTAGGCGATCTCGCTATGTTCTCAATAAACACACGAGTGATACTGTTTTAGGCGATCTCGCTATGTTCACAATAAACACATGAGCGATACTGTTTTAGGCGATCTCGCTATGTTCACAATAAACACACGAGTGATACTGTTTTAGGCGATCTCGCTATGTTCACAATAAACACATGGGTGATACTGTTTTAGGCGATCTCGCTATGTTCACAATAAACACATGGGTGATACTGTTTTAGGCGATCTCGCTATGTTCACAATAAACACATGGGTGATACTGTTTTAGGCGATCTCGCTATGTTCACAATAAACACACGAGTGATACTGTTTTAGGCGATCTCGCTATGTTCACAATAAACACATGGGTGATACTGTTTTAGGCGATCTCGCTATGTTCACAATAAACACATAGGTGATACTGTTTTAGGCGATCTCGCTATGTTCACTTTTGGTAAAGCTAGTACATACACGCACTCGAGCAACAGTCTCCATGGAGACAATGTTGATAGTTTAAATGGAACTACTATTAAGCCAACTTTAATTTCTCATTTTTACGAGTCAGCCTTGAAGGTGTTAACCACCTGTCACGTTTAGCATTGATGGGACATGGATGTCCGTCGGTGTAAGAAGATGAGACTCGCTTTGCAGTGTTACCCCCGTTTAGTTGCCAGGATCGCCATGCTCTACCATAGTCCTCCAGAGTATTATCTTTTATTTGTTAGCATCATGCATATGTTTGCGAACACTCGATTTCTTTACTGTTCGTTTGTGTTTGTTCCACTCAAGTAACTTTCATTGAAACTGCTTATTATCTAGCGCTTATGTCTTACATTCATTCATTTCCCTAAAGAAGTAAAATTTTACCATTTAGGTTGCGTATGGTCTACCTTAACAATGATGCCTTGATATAAATGAAGCCCAAGGATGTGTCAACCCAATCTCACTCTCTAAATCAATTCCTGCTTGATGTACCGTGCGTGTGTAGTAAAATGCCATCGATATTCGACCCCGCAAGTGTAATAGATTCTGATGTGTAGAAGTAGTATTTATAGCCCTGATGTAGTGATTTTAATGAAGTTCCACTGTATATTCATTCTCAGGATTCTATATGAAATCGCCATGTTCTGACGATTTATGGTTCATGCTTCAATACAGAAATCAATATAGACGAATGTTCTGTATCAACTCTGTAATTCTGTGCACAGTCTGCATACTGATGCTGGTGTATAAACGTCGAGAAATGTATCTAATACCCCAGACGCCGCCGATAGTGGCGGTTGGTCCATCCCCTTTCAATCCCCGTGCTTACAGGGGAGTCTCGGCGGAGGAAATGACGTCAGGTTTGTTCAGTAATAAACTCTACCAGCCCGTCGTTAGGAAACTATTCTACCAAGTTATTTCAGTAAATGCTCTCATCAGACAGGAAAACTAGTTTGGATTTCCATCACATTAAAGTTGATGACATACTTAGCTTAATGAGCATAGTGCCAGCGTTATTGTACCGGTGACTACAATCTCCTTCTTATTTACTGGTTGTTATGAATAATTGCATTTTGATTAAGAAATACAGTTCGCTCTACCACCATGTATAGTGTAATAAAACACACTTTCGCCCTGAACTATTATAGTTAAAGTACAAGGACGCTTATTACACTATATACATGGTGGTAGAGCGAACTGTATTTCTTTTCTAAGATGCCAAATTTAATACTTTCGAAGGATAATTACGATTAATGGCAGAAAACAAACGACGGTGTCGGTGACCTAAATTAAGAATCCTCGCACAGGGCTAACTGGCGCGCTGCTCTATTTGTATTGATGTGTCTGCCCTCCTCCCCACGTTAAGACGAACGTTACCAGACAAAAAACAAATGATAACAGTTTGATGACGGTTTATTCAGATTAAATATCTTCTCTGAATTATTTTAATTACATCTGCCGTTAACGTAAACCACATGGGGTAATATGAACGTCGCATTTCTACTACCAACGTAAGTTTAGATCAGTACATCCAGATGAAGCTGAGTAGTCAAACGACATTCCACAATTGCATTGTGGGAATGTAAACATTACGAACGTTACCGTGTCGCTGAAAACTTGTGAGTCGAAATGACACATTTTAACCGTCGTAAAACATAAACGTAATGTTTCCACCAGTGATGTTAGCTGCGTGAAGCAACAGCAAACCAAGAAACTGGATGCAACGGTGTAGTTTACTGAAGGAGGCCGTACGAGGCGATGACAACTGACATGCATCGTGACGTCGCTTACATTGTGACGTAATGTAAAATGGTTCGATTACGAGGGGGCACACTAGAATGGCGCAGTGACGGGATAACGTCATTCAATTGTTACGTCATCAAAAAACTATACCTTTATTGTCTGATAATGTATTTTTTTTCGATTGTTCTAACCGCTAGGCATCTTAGAATGTCTGATAATGTTTGTTTTTTTCGATTGTTCTAACCGCTAGGCATCTTAGAATTACCAACAAAAGGGTAGCAAGTGTGAAATACCGTTACTAGAGTCGGGCTATACTTAGTATCGATTAGAATTGTTCACAATTATTGTTGTCAGTTAAATTTTATTATTTTAAAAATGTTTTGAAAAGTCAGGGTGAAAATACGCTAATCGGCATTTGCTCATTTAGCTCAATGAAACCTGTTTTCAATAGTTATTGCATAAATATGTTCAATAACAGCAATTGGTGTATATCCTCCATCGAAATGGACATAACATCGGTTGAACAGTACGCTAACAATATCATCATAAAATGCAGTATATCAAACATCTGAGTAATTTGTGCTTGTTTGTTTAATGATTTGTTTTTGCATGAATGTTATCATTATAACAAGGTGATGCCATGTTTTCAGCCCGAGGCCCCACGGGACGGGTTTGTCTGGCACGGTCTCTACGGTACTGCAGACAACGACTGGGCGTGGCGTGACGGCTCCCAATATAAACCAAGTCACATAGCTACAGCGGTGGCAGGTACTGACTCACGTGTCACATCTAGTCGTACAACCAGGGAGACGATAGGTACTGACTCACGTGTCACATCTAGTCGTACAACCAGGGAGACGATACTGTGTTAGGGGGATATGTAGACCCGTTAGAGACCGACTGTGTAATATCCTTGGGGAGTGGGGCTGGGATGTTTTCTGTCACTTCTCCAAGAGACGGGACAAATAATATGGTATTAGCGAACCATCATTATAACACTTCAATTGTATCCACCATTTGTACGACATCTCAACTTGTGAAAAGGTTTCTGCACTTCGGTTTGAATACGAAGCCTGTGTTTTGCTTTGGGCGTAAACCTCTAGGGAAAGTTATGTCCATTGTTCTTGGAAGTGTTTTACTAGCATAACTGAATAACTGCCCTAGGGCAATTATTTTTATTTAAAAACAATAAAATTGTACTTATTTTGATAATCTTCATCATGCCTAATGCATTACACGCGTATTAAATGAGTATGCCCTCGTGGCGTCAGCCGTTTAATCACCCTCACTACGGTAGTTATTTAAATAAACACCGCTCGGGCTAAAGCCCTCGCCGAGTTTATTTAAATAACTACATATACCCTTGTTAGGGTGAGTTTATTTAACCTATACATACCCGAGGTGAACCGAGGTTGTGATGAGCCTATCGGCACTCACTCACTCACTTAAATGAATACAGTATTTCTGATGCGAACGTTGTATTTCGTTTCCACTTTCACGTCCACAAATTGCGTATATCCCCTTTAATGGATGTAAAGTTGAAGTAGGGTGTGCACATAGCTCATGAAGAAGTCCAAAGGCCAGGGGGGAAATGATCTTCAGGTAAAATTCTGGGTCCGCCCCTGTGCTAGTCCCCCAAGTCGCCCTTCGCAGATTGGCCGCGTTGAAGGGGATGAGGTGGAATCGATCCAGGTGTAAGGACAGGGAGGTGTCGGTCCCATGACTGGCCTCCCTGGCGCTGTTCAGCGTTATCAATGATCTTGACTATCAGGAAAGATATATTTGTTGTTCTTAAAGTCTTGTCCATACAACTAATGTATATGTATTTAATTGCTGTGCAAACGTAGATGCAACGAGGAAATCAATAGCTGTTTTTGTTTCTGCAGACACTGTGTGTTGTGTATAGCGCCCCGTCGTATGTACACCGGCTGATGTACACTATTTCCGGGGTTAGAAAGCAGGTTTCCTATACCTTTTACAACAAAACATAATGCAAAAGAGTAGGCAGTTATTTATAAATAACAACACTGATTAAGAAAAGTATGTCACGCAAAAGCAAGCAGTAATATCGTGTCCTGTTTTAGGCACTACAGGTATCTACATTCTTAACAAATTTGACTTTTTCATTTTATTTATCAATTTTCAAACAGTCTGAACACCTTAGTTTCTCAATTCCACCAAAGTAATATATTCAACTTTCCATTTTTAATCTTTCCATGTTACAACTGGCTGGAATAATGCCTATGTGACGTAAAACCCAACTCAACTCATCTCAACTACAACTGACGGTTGGTATATAAATATTGAATTAAACTGTTATTGTTGCAATTACGGTTGGCAGTACTAGCTAGTGCAGGTGGTCTTTGCTGTTTCAGACTTATTCACAACAGTTGCGGAACGATCGGTTCTGTCGCTCAAACATACACTGTTGTAACAGCAGTTTCATATATTGTCTTTTTCCGTGAACAGGAAGTTCCGGGAACAAGACAAACAAATGTGGTGCGTTGAAAGGGATTGGCAACTACGCCTTCCTCGACTGCACCATGGATGCTCAGGCCTACGTGTGTAAGAAAGGTACGTCGCCCCATGTTTATGCTCTTCTAAAATCTGAGGTCCTTGTTTGAATACTATGTGGTACTATACTCCCCACGCTTGGAGCTGGAACATCGTTGTTGGATGCATCCCGCCAGATCACCATATGTTGACTGTAAATGGCATACACCGAATGTCACCAGTGAAGGTTGTGAGCGGCGTCTAACGGGATCGGATGGTCAGTCTCGCTGACGTTGTTGATACACGGCATCTTTTCTTGATCGACGTCAATCACCCTATTCGATTATTGACAGACCGCCGTCATACACCTGGAATATTGCTGCGTGCGGCCTTAAGCAACAAACAATATTAGCAATGTGTGCATATTGTACCTACACACTAGAATGCACGTGCACACCTGAAACTCCCTTCGGTTAGGCATGGACGTCTCCGATCAGGTGATCTATCCATTTATCGTTCCTTTAGTAGAGATCCCCGGCCGCGTCATACCAAAAAGACGTTAAAATATGGTACTTGTTGGTCCCTGCCTGGCGCTCGGCATTAATGGGTACAACAAGGACTGGTCGGCTCGGAGTCAGTATAATGTGTCTGAGTGGGGTATTCATGCTTCACTGCGGCATGGTATCTCAGTGGGCTAGCACTATAAAACCAGCTTAAGTCTGGGCTAGTACAACCAGCCGCACATACACATACACACGCATGCACGTCGTCATATGAGCGAAATATTCTCAAGCACGACGTAAAAAACCAATTTCACCTCACCTCACCTCCTTTAGTAGAGCGTTTGGTAGACGTGAGAGCGTTAGCTTAAAGCGAATTGAAAGGTCAGATCTACGTGCTGTATTAGTGAAACCCACTGCAGTGACAACTCAATAATCATGAAACCAACATACTGCGGATCCTGGTGGCTTAGGGGACGCAACTCTGCCAATCTATTGGTGGTCCCTTGGGAGCCATCCATGTCGCTCAAACATGCATGTTGTAAAGTCTCCCTTTTTCAGCATTCTCTTAACATGTCTGACCATATGTCGATAGCGGTTTTGCGAACATGAATTGTTTATAACAAAATCTCTTTTTTATATTTCAACAGCTTTGTCGATGGTGTACTCAACCAGTTCGATCGCTAACCATTCTGCAGTAAGCGACCACTTTCAGCTGTTCGAGAGACTGGTACCACCGGTGTTATCTGCCCTTCCCTCGGCGAGTTTTCAGATAGCTCAGATAGATGTCGCCTCGGAGACCGGATGTGCTTACTACTGCTTCACCCTGGAGACGTGTTCAGCTTTCCAATACACGTGTATTACATCGTCGGCGTGCACGACGTACACGTGTAAACTCCTGCATGGGATGTAGTGGACCAGGCCAGAAGTCATTCAAGGCATGGGACAGGGATATGAGTTTCATATCCAACATTTTTGTTCTTGTGAAATATGAACCTCACCGCACATACCAGAAACTATGCCGGGGATTGGATCAGAAACTGACGTGGTTGTATAATTTGATTAGGTTATTTAGCTGTCACAAATCCCCTTTTACAAAAGTCAAGCGAAAAATTACTCTACTGACACGATAAATTCAACTATTCAGGAATAAGATAATATGAAGTGTTCTATACTCAAATATCTAAAATTCATCATGCTGCTTTTATTGCCGATGTTTTGCGAAAGAGAGGGGGCAACTCTTTATATTCTGTTTCTTCGGAATTCTTGGTCTTTCTAAAATACAAGCCGTTAAATGATTCACATCAATATGTTCTCAACACCTGGTTTCTCGGAATTGCAGAGTGCAATTTGACGTCATATCCTATTTTGGGTTCTGAACATAAGTCACACACAACTCACAACTCAATTGACGTGTATTATTTTATTCAAAGACATTTTAAATACTGTAACTGATAGATAGTCTTACCCAGCGGTCTAAGACGGTTATGCATCTCTTTATGTACATTGTCAATATTCCGTCCATACGATCGTGTACAATGGTTTGAAATAAACGAATTTTAACTGGCATTTATTGTAATAGAGTTTTTGTTTAACAGTTTCATGACACCCCACATGACCTTCAAATGCTGTCAAAAGAGACATCAGGACGCCTTTGTCGTAATTTGCAGCTTCCATGAAAGCAAGAATGACTGAAAATCGACCGGGTATAGATCAAGACGACCTATAAGAAAGCCATTGTCATCCCCAGAACACAAAGCAACACGACTAACTGGAATTTGAAGTGACGGGGAAGTGTTTACTGGTCGGACGAAAGTCGATTTCTTTTGTTCATGACTGATAACCGCGCCGCAGGAAGAATGCATACACAACGGAATATCTTGGAGCAAGTACCATTTGGCGGGGGTTCAATGATGCTGTAAGGACGCCTCTTCCATGACTGTAAACTTCACTTTGTAACGATGGGACAAAATCTGAATGGACAACGGTACATCACTGACATCATAGACAGGGTCGTGTACCACATGTCGATGATCATCCTCCGAATACAAGGCCAGTCTCCGTAGACAACAATGTAATCCGCATCGTGCTGTTGGTAGCAACTCTACCTTGAACCGTCAGGAATCCTGATCACAATCCCTTAGAGCGTGTTTGGGACATTATGTGTAGCAGAATACGCCATAGAGATCCTCCACTACAAAATCTTGATGTATTGGAACAAAAAATGGAACGCAATACCCCAGCGTCAAATTCGATGTCTGATGCAGTGATGAGGAGGAGGGTCAGGGATGTTATTGCAGTTGGCTATTGACACTGTGCTCGGTTTTTGATAATTGTATGATTTCTTGAGGTTTTGTATGCTGGAATCTTGAAAATGACTGCACTTATTAACGTCAAACGATCATGGTTATCAGCACTACATAATGACTCATTTTTTTGCCATGTTTGCTTCTATAAATAGTGTTTCGTGCATTTTACGTTTACAGGTGCCCTTTAATTATTCCAGTTTATCAAGAAAGTTAAATTAAGGTTTGGATGGGTTCCTTTGCTATTGTTAATGGTAACATATTGATACCTTTAAAATTATGGGTTGTTGCGATACTTGTTCCACTTGCAGATTTAAAAACTGTAAGTTTTGCGTATGGTTGCAGTTTCGCCGAAACAAATTTGACTTTTGATGTCACTAAAATGTAGGGTTTTGAAATTGAACGGATTTCCCAGTTCTCTGAAACATCCTCTTCCGGTTTCTTGAACTGTTTCAACAGTGGGAATTTGATTTGTGAGGTCTTGCTGTCCCTTGTTTTGAGACACTTTTTATTATCATGCAGGTGCATCGTATAAACACGGTCGACTTCCGGTCTCCAAAGTAGGCATGTCTATGATACTGTACCCAATTTTTCTCTGGTATCTACACTTTGAAAACATGTAAGATGTTGATGGTTTGGTCATCTACAGAAATATATATATATATATATATATGATGATTTCTTCTAATTCAGGTTTAGAAAACGACAAATATTAGGAAGCATATGGTCTTAGCATGTACATTTACTAATTTATGTAATGGTTCTTACCTGTTATTTTGCAACAGATGGAAATGAAAATGTAAATGTAGTAGAAATAGCAAATCTAATACAACATCCTACACAAGCTGTATGATACCACAGCCTACTGAGTGAATGTTCTCGAATGTTGAGAAAGAATAAACTGAAACTGTAGACGGAGAGCTGACAACATCACAATAACCTCATTTGATCTTCAATATTTGTCAATTAATACATACAATAAAGCCTAATTAAAACGAGTTTTTCAGAAACAGTTAAGCTGTTTGTGCCACAGGGTGTAATATTCACGCGCTGCTTGTATTGATCGAGGGATAAGTTTGTTTAGCGGTCAAAACTGCCTCCACTGCAGATACCGGTTGGGTGAATTCGAGCAATATTATTATGTCTCCCAGGGATATATCGCCCCATTGTAATTGCATCACAGTGTTTTGCAGACAATGCCACAATCAGCTGTCATTGGTAATCTTTCCTCTGCAGAAATTAGTTACCGAGTTTGGCGAAGGTTAACCCAGAAATCGGAACGAACAGAAATATACTCTCCAAAAAAAAAGAAACGCATCATGAAAATAGCAATTTCATGTAGCAATGAATAAAAACGTGATTCATTTTACAAAAGGTTTTGCTCTGTTTATGAGTCCTATGGTGTTTATGTTTTGAAACATCACAACAAAACGCACCATCCGTAAAATACCCGTATTTAACAGCATGATGTTCAATTTCGGCGTGTAGTGTCACAGAATACACAAATCACATGCAATGCACGTGAAAGTTAGGGATCAGATAGTCTCAATGATGTATAAAAGGTTGATCGCTGTCTGTCGATTATGCACTGTATTTGGAATATTGTTGACGAACGCAAAATGTCACGTCTGAGTGAAGCCAACCGTCTTATCGCCATTGGTTTGCTTGAAGCTGGCCAGTCTCAGCGTGCAGTTGCCCGACGCATGAATGTTCACCAAAGCACCATTTCACGGCTCTGGGAGAGATATCGCCGGCAGAATGCTGTAGCAGACGCCCCTCGTAGTGGGCGACCTCGAGCGACCACTGCGGCTCAGGATCGCTACATCCGGGTACATCACCTGCGTCATCGAACAGCTACGGTGACCAGTACCGCTCGACAAATACCCGGATTGAGGAGGCTTTCTGCACAGACCGTCAGGAACAGGTTGAGAGAGGCTGGTTTACGTGCCAGAAGACCTTATTTTGGCCCTGTGCTTCGACAACAACATCGTAGACATCGAGTACAATGGTGCACCAACGTTCTGGCCTGGAACCTACCGAATTGGCGTAGAGTCTGGTTCAGTGATGACTCACGATTTCTATTGGAACGACGCAGTGGACGAATGCGGGTGTACAGACGTCGACGTGAACGTTTCGCCGACGCTTGCGTTCCCCAGGTGGACAGATTCGGCTGGGACAGTGTTATGATGTGGGGAGAGATCACCTGCCGTAGGAGAACTGATTTGGTAATGATCCAGGGCAACCTGACAACTCAACGGTACTGTGACGAAATCCTACGCCCACACCTCCTTCCAATCATTGATCGCCAGAGGGAGTTGTTTCAACAGGAGAATGCCAGGCCCCACACAGCACGTCACACAGGCGTGGGAATGTCATGCCCAGTGTGTGTCACAGTTCAATGTCATGCCCAGTATGTGTCACAGTTGAATGTCATGCCCAGTATGTGTCACAGTTGAATGTCATGTCCAGTATGTGTGACAGTTCAATGTCATGCCCAGTGTGTGTCACAGTTCAATGTCATGAGTAAGGCACGAGATTCTCGTGAATCATGGGAACAGCACTAGTGGTAGAAGCAGGCAGACAACGACGAGGCGAGTCGATTAGTCTTAAATCAGTTCGTAGAAGGAAGGTTTTCTAGTCGTTGTTGTCCTGAAGTGTCTACAACATAATATATTTCGACAAACCCTGATAGATGGTGTTCGCGAAAAGGTCAGCTTATCCTGCCCCACTGGTGACACCAGTCACAAACACATGCAACGCCAAGTCAGAAACTACTAATGAGGATCGGGCGGCCACAGTGATTGCGTGTCACCGTGACCCGTAGTCGTGAATCGTTGCTTATATTATTAACAACTTGACAGCGTGGTCCAGGGCCCTGTTTCACAAAGCTCTCGTAAGCCTAAGATCTCGTAACTTTTCTCGTAGCATTCGTACCTATTATGCTATAACATAGGAGGTACGAATGCTACGATAAAAGTTACGAAATCTTAGGCTTACGAGAGCTTTGTGAAACAGGGCCCTGGCTTGAAAATATTACTGCAGTGAACAAATACTTCACTCTTTACGGTGTTAGCTGCATGAAACTGAATCAAGTAGATACTGGCAACACTGCCGGTAAAAGTCGAAACATCTCGACATAGGATAATGCAATGACAAAAACAATGACGCTATATCACAAAAATATTTAGCTATAACTATAATCTGATAACAACTTTTGCGTTTTCAATGATAGTTTCTTAAACAACTTTTTTTGGTGGAGTCCGGAAAATTTTCAAATATAAGAAAGCTGTTGGGTATTAGTAAATGATGTGTACTATTTATATTTCTGTGGCAATTTTGTACAATGATCAAATTTGCAATTCATCGTTCCGTTTCTGACTCAAACGGACTGTAATAATATTTCATTTCCAATACGGGAATTTAGAATAGAAATGTTGCAAAAAAGCAACTTAGTTGTTCACCTATAAAAGTGGACTTAAAACACAAAGGTGTGTAAAAGCATTAAGATAGTAAATTGTGTAGTTTAATACCTTTAGTAAAAGTTGAATTTGTTTTAGTTAGAATTGTGTTTTGATATTTGGAGTATCTTCACTCCAGACATATTTATTTGGTTCCGAATTTGTCCCTATTAATATGATATAAGAAACTCCCTCTAATCCAACATCCCTCTATTCTGAATTCCGACACTCAAATCCGGTCCAAAAACATGTTCTTAGTGCAAACATGACTCTCTCTAAACCGACATTTCAAAAGCTGTGCCCAAGTGCCCTTGAGCAAAAACTTCCTACCACCCGCCAAACCACCATGACTGACTTCTTTGTTCATCATTAAATATAATTACAACTTTTGTCATTTGTTTATTACACAGACGATATTTGTTATTAAGAGCCATTGATATAAACATACTTGTACATTTCACTGTTCGTTTAATTTTGTCTGTGTGTGGTTTCATCTTGGATTGAGTTTCTAAAAAATTCCTGTAAACCAACATCCCTCTAAACCGATATGTTTCACCGGTCCCGTGCGATGCACAGGTCCTCGTGTCTTTGCAAGGATTAAAGATTTTTTTTTAAATATATATATAAAATTATGAGATGACCCCCCGACTCGAAATGCTTCACATTACAATACATTGCGGTTTCAGGGCATTTTATGATACCCATGATGTGTATGTACTGTAAAGCATTTCGAGTCGGGGGTCATCTCAAAAACAATATTTTATAAATCTTTAATCCTCGCAAAGACACGAGGGCCTGTGAGTCC